TTAGTCTAAGACATTTTCAGGTGGGCGGTTACCGTTATGGGAGCCTTATAGAAGGTAGCGTCCGCCCCCAGCCGAGTCCTAGCCTTGTTCTTCCGGTTGGCCTCGTACTGCTTGGTTTTTAATCTTTTCATCTCCCTGTCCACGTCAATCACCCCGACGATGCCAAAAAGCTCCCCGGGCTGCTCCCCGGCCCCGGGCTCCTTCTTCACGATAGCTTTCACGATCTGCCCGGGCTCTTGCTTCACGCCCTGAACTCGAAATGCCGGCCTCACAGACCATCTCGGTCCCATCTGCCGTTGAGGCGGGGCTTTTTGACCCCTCCCCACACTTCTCGCACCTCCAGTTGGAGGGTCGGGGGACGCTTTAGTAAGTAACGATTTTATGGACCTACCTTACAAGTATCATAACCTGAATTAGGGCCCCTCCTAGCAGGGAAGACTGGCGGCTTTCAAGGTGGACCGAAGAAATTCCAGAGGTGGCCAAGCAATAAATTTAAAATCAAAGCCGTATGTAAAACACTCAGCGTTTCAAACCTGCAGAGGCCGAGCCCAGGCAAGGCAACCCCCCAGATAAATAATCCGGCCGCCGCAAAACAGTTGTGTTATGTTATTGCGTTTGTTTGACAGAGGCTATATACCTTATAGAAGCCTTATAGAAGCCCTGTAAACCCCAAACTCCCCACCCTAGACCCTAAACCCTAAACCCTAAACTCTAAACCCTAGACCCTAAACCCTAAACCCTAAAGCCCTATAAACCCTAAACTCCCCACCTGTGGTTTCCTTTAGCTTAGATGGGGTGTTGGGGCCTCATGCTGAGGGGGTCCTTAGGGTTTAGGGCTTTTTAGGTTAAGGGGCTTAGGGGTTTAGGGCTTCAGGGTTTTAGGGTGTAGGGCTTTAGGGTTTTAGGGTTTTAGGGCTTAGGGTTTTAGGATTTCGGGGTTTGGGCTTTAGGGGTTTAGGGTTTAGGGGTTTGGGTTTTAGGGGTTTAGGGTTTGAGGGTCTAGGGCTTAGTATCTTACTTGTCCAGTGCCCGTATCCTGAGGCAGCTATTTGGGATCATGTAAGGGTTGTAGTAACTACTTCACTTCGAAGTTAGGGTGTTTGGGTTTGTTTGGTAAGCTCGTGTGCGGGCTCCACAGCCTAGCTAAAGTGGGAACCAGGACGTAGGGCCTAGGGATGGGGGTGAAGGATTTGCTAATCACGGTGACCAAAGGCTTTAGAATTGTATGTGGGTAGTTCTCTAAATTAGGGTCCATTTCGGGGTCCCTTTTATAAGGGAGCCGTACTATGTTGGGGATGCAAAAAGGGACCCGAATTTGGAGAACTACCCATGCGGGGTTTTGGGCTGCGCCACGGATGACTACGACTGTTCCAACTTCAAGTCGAGGAAGATCCCTGCAGGGATGCATGCTCCCTATACGACGCCTTAGTGAAATGGACCTTAGCAACGGACCCTGGGCCGTAAACCCTAAACCGGGAAATCATGCAAACGACTAAACAACTAGGAAGCTGGGCTGAGTGAAACTTTTTTGGTGTTAGGGTCCAGGGCGCCTCCCGCATTGGGGAATTCTACAATTGGGTCTCCTTTGCATGTTTTCTGCAGCAAGGATGCATTATATAGATTATTAGATTGAGGGCCACCTGTCTTCTCGAACTGCGACGGAAACAACCGTCGGGAACCGTTGTAGAAGCCTGAATCATAACCAGTACTACTCCTTAGAGTTTCTATTGTAATCCCCAAAAGCCGAACCCTAAACCCCTAAACCCTAAACCCTAAACCCTAAACCCCTAAACCCTAATCCCTAAACCCTAAATCCCCCTGTCTTACGCAGCCTCCAGCTCGCTAATCTTGCTCAAGGATTCATCGCCGCTCAGTTGGTAGTTCTGCTCCTGCCAGTTTGGCGGGGTCCCCAAAGGGTCCTAGGTACTGTTATAGGGGATACTTTCCCAAATCATAATAAGGATCCCTATTGTAGAAACCCTTACATTCTACTATGTAGGTACTTAGGACCCTTTGGGGTCTAGCCCTCTAGATGCATACCATGGTCTCCATCGTAGTTCCTTTTTGGTTTA